ATTTAGACTTCTTCCCTTTAAGAAAGCAAACACTAATGCTTTTTTTTGTTTTTTGTCAGCCACTGTAAAATGCTATCTGATCTTTCATGTTTTTTTTGGAATTAGGGAAAACTGAGGAGGTGATGAGGTAAATCCTCAGAAAACTGAGGGGTGGCATCAGAATAAAACATCACTGGGTCTATGAGGAAAGTGTGCACTAAAGTGATGCCCCTTTTTTGTGGTGCATAACTTGGCCCTTGCTTGAAATGAGTCAGGAGAATAGCCACATGTTTCTGAGCCCGACATTTCATGAGATGCACTAAAAGCTCATGAGAAAGAGCATCATTTTTGGAGATGAGCAAGAATTTTGCCCTGGCACTGAAGCCAGAATAAACAGCCAGATCAGATAACTGTCTTGAAACAGATTGCATTTTCTGTAATGCTCTGCTCTTTCTTTAGGCTTGTCATTCATGCTCAAAGTTTTCATCAAAATCATGTCAATCACTGGGGCTCCATCTAGAGTCAAAGATTGGTGATTTTTCCCCTTATGGAATATAGCTTTTTTTTTTTTTTTTTTTTTTCCAGCTTATTGCTCTTTTTAGCTGCTGCTAGAGACAATTTTTATCTTTAAAAATATAAAGAATGAACTTCAAAAGAAATTTGTCACCCCGAAGTAAATACATCAAAAGCTATGGGGGTGTAGTTGATATGAATTTGTTAGACTTTTTAAATACTGTAATTCAATCAAATAATAATTCTCTACCCCATATATATTTTAGGGTTTCTAATTCAACCACATTTGCTCAAAGTGTGTTTAGATAAAATTTTTGGCACTCCACAAAGTTTTTGCTTGTGCAAGAAAAATGTTGCATTTAATCTTTTGATATATTAGGTTCCCTCTAACTTTTATGCGTATATATGAAATTTGAGTTGTTTTTAGCTGACACTGACATGCAGGAGTAGGACAGTAGTCTGGGATTCAGTTGAACTGTTTTTCAAATAAATGAGCCTTAGCTTGGGTAAAGAAGATAATTCTACTTCATTCATTTGTTAGACTTGGAAAGTGTTGTTTTGTGTTTTTAAAACATGTGCTTTAAGATACTATTTCACCCTTAGTGTGTAAGCTCCTTGAGATGCCAATGCAGCAGATGGTACTTAATCTGATTTTAAGGAAATGGGCCTCCACCTGTTACGCTGTTGTGCATGGATTGATTTTCACTTCATGGTTGATCAAACTTTTTTTTTTTTTTTAAATTAGTTCTGTTCTGTTTGTTATTTTTTCCTCTAGGTGGGTTCCTGAGAAATTTCTAAGGCATTTCTGAGATGGTTATAAGCCATACAATGAATGTCCAAATTCATATAACAAGCACTTTGTATGTGAAAGCGGTAAATCTATTTTGTGAAGACTTGCTGCAAATGCATCCTGTTTATAGCTGTTTGCATCTTAGGAGAGTGGTCTTTTTGCAGGGATTTCTCAGATTTCTGCAGGGAATTAGCAGCAGCGTATTGTCATTTGTCCAGATATGAAACTGTCTTCTCAAGTTTACATTTTTCTTGTCTACATCAACACTTGGAGCAGTGTTGTGAAATGACTTGCGATTGAAATGTTTCTTCGGGTCATATACTAAATATATAGCACAATTATTGAATTCGTCTACTTTTTTTCATAATTTTACTTAAAGGAGAAAACTTAGAGCAATGATTTCCTAAAGTAAATGTTGAAGCAGTAATCTGAATTGATAACATTTTGTAAGAAATATACAAAGTATTATTATAAGGTGTAGTGAGTTCAGTAGCTTTTCCTCTGACTGCTATTGGTAAAATCAACCTGTAAGGTAAAGGGGCGAATGTTTGAAATACAAAAAGGCAAATCTTTTTTCATGACTTGAGAGGAAGGCCTCTGTTCTTCTTTCTCTCCATGCCTTTAATCTGTGATATCGTAAGGTAAAAGACTTAAGAAGTGAGCATTGAACAATAGAAGTCTAAGTATGGAAATAAGTAAGTTTGAGGCAAATTCAAAAGTAAAATTACACAGCTGCTTTCATTTCAGACATTTTAGATTATCAAGTGTATTAGAGTTATATAAACTGGCATGCAAAACTTTGGGAAGCGATACATAAGTGAAATAGTTGGCAGGAGAGTTAAATGCATTTTTAAGTTCCTTACATAAAAGTCCAGTTTCCAAAATAAGCTATATTTGGTTTTGGTTGTGTGGCAGGTTACATAAGCGTTTTCCTTTCTTATGAATGTGCGTAACTGGATACGTGTAGCCGTGTTTGTTCCCTCTTCACACGTAGGCAAAAATAGATATCCGCAAGTGGATAAAAATGGATATTCTGTTGGAGCTTGCCTAATTGCTTATCAATTTCTAATCATGGGTTCAATGGATAAAGTTGTTAGCTTCTTATTGTGTGGTGTGAGTAAACTGAGCAAATACCTCCAAATGCAGCTTGATTATAGAATTGAGGCTGAGCTTCAGTGTTGAAATTAAATGACACAAATGTCCTTTTTGCTGGAATCTGGGATGTTATTGAATCTCTGATGAACTAAGATGTCCTCTTTGATTTGAGAACCTCCTGCCTCTAACTTACAACTCATTAGAAGCACACTAATGCTCCTAATGCCATTAGAGTGTGTTTGTTTCTAATGCCATTATAGGATGTTTGTTTATGTGTGTCTGTTCAGGCAGTGTGTTGTTAGCACCCAGTGTGTGCTGCAAAGCAAATGAGTGCATTTTCTGCTGTAGTTTGGGCTGGGTTGTGGTTGTACCTTTTCAGAGAGATTTGTGCATATACACACATCTATGAAATAATGCATATAGATATATATGTGTGTGTATGTGTTATATCTGTGTATATAACACAGTGTGTAAATTGTGTACATAAAATATTTTAGCCTTATCTACAACAGGGATCTTGTGTGTGTGTGTGTGTGTGTATATATATATATATATTGTACCTTGCATAAAGATGAGGAAAATCGAACCTTTCAGTTTCTGATAAGCATCTTCTGAATCTTCAAGGAGTACAAGATGTTTCCAGTTCTTGATTTGTTATTA